TATTGAATCAAGCGGAACGACAAAGAAGAATCCTTCTCTCAATTTTTCTGCATGAGAAGGTACTTGCATAAATTCTATAGTAGGAATTGTAGTGAGTTAAAGACCCCAATGGATCCAAGTATGGAACTTATGGTTAATACTGGAAATCAGTTTTACAACTGGAGATGTATGCACGACTTACATGATGCTAGATATCGCATATGCGATAGAACAATTAAGTTGGTACGTGATGAATCCTAGTTCTCATCATTTGAAATGAAATGAGGCGTGTACTAGGATATGTCAAAGGCACACTGTATTGACTTATAGTGACTTTTCATCAATTTTGGAAAGGATTTGTTGATGTTAGTTGGATTTCTCATGTTAAAGGTGATACTTCAACATTGAGATGGGTCCTCTTGCTTGGGAGAGGTGCCATAATTTGGGCCTCTAGAAAACAAACTTGCATCACTAAGTTTCACTATGGAATCAGAGTTTGTGTGGCCTTGATTTCTCTTAGAGAAGAGACATAATTGTTGAGAGGTTTGGTTTATGACATATATTAATGGCCTAAACCAATCTCACCTATTACTATCTTTTGTGATAGTAATGTTAATTTGGCTAAGGCATATAGTCAAGTGAAAATGACAAGTACGGTCATGTGGGAGTAAGGCACGGTAAAAGCTGTGAACTGATCATTCATAGTGTTGTGTCTAGACAGTATGACCAGACTTGAAATAATTTGGTTGATCATTTGACGAAGTGGTTAACTAGTGACTTGGTGATCAAGTCTGTGAAAGGGATGGGTTAAAGTCCATATAATTTCCGGTAATGGGACACCCAATTCCCCTCTAATACAACGTTAGAGGCTGAATTCAATGTGGAAAGCTTATTATCAGAAATTGAAGCACACAATTTGTCATCCCGAGGTATGTGCTTGTTATCCTGCATGAGAGAAGAGGATGAAGTTCAAATTTCTTAATTGAATCTTTGAAAAAGTGTATTATGCGGGTACATGAATAAGAGATTCAACCTACGTAAGCATGAAGTGTAGCCGCTTCAAGAAACCCGGACTTTGGTTTCGTGTGCGCTTATGAGAAGGATTGGACACATGGCGGGTAATAGTGTCAAGGCGCTTAGAAGTTTTGAAAACTTAAGTGTATATTATCTTCGAATATTCATATGAGTCAATGGGTTCAATCGTTACTGACACCCTTTGTATTCGAATATTTGTCAAGTGTAATATACTAAGGTGAAAATTCAATCTTCACGACATTTTCATTTATGCTTAAGTTTTTGTTGGAAGAATGTTGTGATTTTAGTGAATTCTATGAATACACTAAAATGAGGGAGGAATGTTGGAAATTTGATTGAACCGGACTAATAAGATCAGATGGGTCTGTGTTAGGCCAACTAAATCAAATTCATTTTTCTCGAAAGGTGTGATGCCAATTGTATTTTGAAAAGCCATGTTCATTTAATTTGAATATATGTATCACGTTGCATGGCAATGTTTGAACATGGCAGTTAGCCACAAACAAGGCAAAGTTTTCATTGTTTAAATTTAATGACAGGATCTCATCATTATGCATTAAGGTTTGGAAATTTGGATGAGGCAACGCATTGCTTGGCCATAATAGCATGGACGGTTTTCATAGCTATGGGCCAATCAAATTCATGCAATGCAAAGCTTAATGGAAACGTTTCATTTGAAATAAATGAACATATATGTCCCTTGGCCAAATGAAACCGCTAACCTTGGGAAACAATATATTGCTTCGGTTGTGAAGCAGTATATGGTTTTTTGGAATCTATAAATAGATGGGATCGGTTGGTGGGAGAGACATACCAAAAATTCATTCTTCTTCCTACTAAAAGTTCTAAGTATGCTTTAGATACTTAAGCCTGGAACCTAAAGTGGTGATAGTTTTATCCTACGAAGAAATTTCCTGTAACCCTAGGCTTGTTGAGGGTGGAAATATTCTTTACGGAAAGTGAACGTAGTTCACGACTCTATCATAATCCTAGTCACCCGGTCTCGGGCTATCGTACGTATACCCTCATCCCATGAAAGTCCCAACATTTAACACCAACGAACATCAACCACATATTCTACCAGAGCGTTACTAAGAGTGTTATCTAGTGATCTAGGGATTCAGAGAAAGCATTAGGAATCGAGTAGGAGAATTGATGTAGGAAGAACATAATTGGAGATTAAGGATTTAGAAGAGATTAGCAGAAGCAGAATAAGAGAGAAAATAAATAAACTAAATAGGGTTTGATTATTGATGTCTCCTTTTTCTGACGTAATGCCCAAAGTACATTTATATAAATAATAAACCCAAACTCTAATAATAATCCTAATTCAACACGACCACAACCGGCGGCCTAAACCCCCAAAAATCCTAATAATTATGTTTGTAACAGCTTGCGATGCCACTTTAAGAGGTGCAATGGATTCTTCAAGATGACGATAAGGGGGTTACTTTCAGCCTAAATGTAGTGCTCGAGGCCCCCTCTACCTTTGTTTCTGTCCAACCACTCCGCTACTACTGTATTTCTTTCTTCTTCGATTGTAATGCTTCCCTATATGCAAATTCATACCTAGACCTCGAATTGACCGTGATTTGACATATGATACTATATCCTAACCCTTGGCGAGTAAACCCTAGGTATTAATTATCTAAATTATGGACCCTAAACAACAAAAAATTGTGCATATAATTTGTTGCATGTAATTCGATGAATCATGACAATTGATTCTTGGTTCTAATTAAATTAATCTTAGTGCATGAGATTTATAAAATGGATACCCATATTTTAATGTTTAAGGATTATGGTATAGTAGCATGTCCCAAACTCCGATCATTTTAAGCTCTAGATGTCATTTTATAACTCAAGGTATAGTATACCTTTGATTTTACTCAATGTACGATAGAATATACTTTGAGTTAAAAAATTATATCTAGACCTTGAGTTGACCGCATGTGGGTGCATGATACTATATTACAACCCTTGATGAGTGAACCCTAAGTCTTAGTTATCTAAATCAAATACCTTAAACTCCAAAATGACGTATGTACTTTGTTGCATATATTTCGATGAATCATGACCGTTGATTGTTGTTTCTAATCAAATTGATCTTAGTGTATGAGATTTATAGAACCCAGGTTTTAATCTTTAAGGATTAGGATACATACCATGTCCCAAACTCCGGTCAATTAAGGTTTATATGTCATTTTCTTACTTAAGGTATGCTATACCATTGATTTTACTCAAGGTACGATAGAATTTACCTTGAGTTAAAAATGATATCTACACCTTGAGTGGACTGAATTTTGGGGTATGATATTATACTCGAACACTTGATGAGTGAATTCTAAGTCTTAGTTATCTAAATCATAGACCTTAAACTCCAAAATGGTGCATGCAATTTGTTGCATATATTTCGTTAAATCATGGTCGTTGATTGTTGTTTCTAATCAAATTGATCTTAGTGTATGAGATTAATAGAATTAAGACCCAGATTTTAATCTTTAAGGATTAGGATACAATACCATGTACTAAACTCCTGTCAATTCAAGTCTAGATATCATTTTCTTACTCAATGTTACTATACCTTTGATTTCACTCGAGGTATGATAGAATCACTCACACCACACCCATATAAGTTTGTGTGTGTGATGCCTTCTACGGTACCCCGGGTGAAATCCGGGGTACCACATACCTTAAGTATGAAAACGTTATCTAAAACTCGAATTAGCAGGATTTTTGGGCATGATACTATACCCTAACCCTTAATGAGTGAATCCTAGTACCTAATTATCTAAATCATAAACTATAAACCCTAAGATAATGCATTGATTTTTTTTGCCTATATTTGGACGAATCATAACCGTCGATTATTGTTTCAAATTAAATTGATCTCAGGGTATAAGATTTAGAGAATTAAGACCTAGATTTTGATCTTTAAGGGTAAGAGTATAATATCATGTCCGAAAGATCAGTCAATTCAAGTTCTGAATAGCGTTTTCTTACTCAAGGTATGCAGTACCCCGGATTTCACCCTCGGTACCGTAGAACTCCCCATATACATACGACTGGTATGCTCCAGATGATCTGACCGTTAGATTTACATGGATTAGCTCCGACCAATCTCAACTGTCAACTCTTTTTTTTTTTCTCTTAAATTGAACTTTGGGTTTGGGATTAGAAAATCGGGGCCTGGGGTTTATCTATTTGAGGTTAGGGTATAGTATCATACCCCAAACTCGGTTTAATTCATGGTCTAGATAGAGATATCTCACTATGAGTACATGAAGTATAGTATGCTCCAAGATAAGCTCTCTCATTCTATAATGGATTATTTTCAACCAACTCGACTCAAACTGTGACTTAAGAAAATCTAATATCTTAAAATTTTAGAGGTGAATTTTGGTTCACTATCATTCAACTTGAAACTAATCGATTGGGTAGTTAAAACCAATCAAAATCAATCCATCCCATTTACACAGGAGCAGATCCGCCCAGTAACCCATAGGTCAGTAACTATGCATAACTCAATCACCATCTGTCACATATCAACGCCCCTTCTCTATCCTGTAAAGCGTTTAATTTTCCTCCCTTAATCTTTAACACGCGATTTCTCACTCGTTTTAAGTCATAATTTAAATTTTTTCGCACAGTTAGTTCATATTAATTGTGCTCTTCAAAATTATATCCACTTTGATATATTTTTGGGGAAAAAATTTGTGCCATTTTGTACCAGTCTATACCATCTGGTATTGGCTTATATTGAAATAATAACATATCATATGAAATAAAGCGTATCATGATGATATAAACATATCAAGACTGTAGAATGATTGAATACATGATAGTAGGAGTGTCATTTACTTGCGTCTTTCAACTTATCATGATGTTATTAAGTGGCATTGTGTGGTATTTTTTTGTCGGTATTTTTGTTATTTAACTTTAAGTAACCCTATAAATCAGGTCCAAGCATCCCTTACCGGGTTGCTTCACTAACTGATGCACAACGACGCCGTGAGGAAGACTAGTTAACCTCTCACAGCGGACGACAAACTCCTCTTTGTTCACCGTTGATCGCCCATGGAGCTCACTCTACCGGCAGGCATTGCCAGCTCCTCCACCTTGCGGTGGCTCAGAATTCGTGCTCAAAGACACACGCCTTTGTCACGGATTCAATACCCAGTCTTCCCTGCAAGCCCGAGAAGAATGGACCGACAGTTATTGACGTCAAAATCCACAACCCCACGCGCCGCCGCTCCTATCGGTGACAACGGCTCCTCCTCCATCTCCACCGCTTCGCCGGTACAGCCAGGTAAAGTTTGGTTCTTGGTCTCTGCTTTCGCTTGTTTTTCTCTGATGGATTCTGAGAACTGGGTTTCTGTTGCAGTTGGGAGCCGGGTTGGAGAAGTGAAGAGGGTCACCAAAGAGACCAATGTTTCTGTGAAAATTAACTTGGATGGTACTGGGGTTGCTGACTCGTCCACGGGAATCCCATTTCTCGATCACATGTTAGATGTTAGTGAACTTCTGGAAATCACTTTGCAGCTCTGCAACTTCCCTTTTCAATTTGGTCGACTAGTCGATTTTCTTTTGCCCTGGATTTGATAGATGATATTTCCCGCTTTTCGATCGATTGATTGTAGCAACTTGCGTCGCATGGGCTGTTTGATGTACATGTGAGGGCAACTGGTGACATTCATATTGATGACCATCACACCAATGAAGATGTTGCTCTTGCTATTGGAACGGTCAGTACTTCCAGTTACCTTCCCCTTTTCATTTCTCAGTCTTCTGACTTCATATAGCTCACCACTTGTAACTCGCCTCCATGGATTATTGATTGAACGAAAGTTAGTCTGAAGGTTTTCTTGGTCTCTTTAGGCTTTGCTGCAGGCTCTTGGTGATAGGAAAGGAATTCACCGGTTCGGGGACTTCTCAGCTCCTTTAGATGAAGCATTGATTCACGTTGCCTTGGTATGTTTTCCACTCTGGCCTATTAATTTGTCTCGATTGAGGATTGACTGACAAAGTGAGAACCATGAACTTGTGGCCAAGTAATTTTGAAATGTATAAATATGTGTGTATTTGCACATCGTGTGTGGAAAGCAAAAGTGAAACTGGCAGAGCCATGAATTTGAGAACTTGGTTATGTGGTGTATAGTCTTAAGGTTATTTGAGATAGCATAGGAAGCTAAATGTTCGACAGTTTCATTTACAGGCATTTGAATTGAGCTATAAGATATTCTGACAGGATCGATGTGCATTATATTGCTTTAGGATCAGCTCTTGTGCACATGTTAGCTGCAGCATTATGAAATGCTAATGTGCGGTTTCTCTTGTTCTAGGATTTATCAGGGAGACCATATTTAGGTTATGATTTGCAGATTCCCACTCAGAGGGTTGGAAACTATGACACTCAGGTGCTGCGATTTCATGTCTTTCATCTCATTGCTTTAATTTGAGTCCTGAACGTCTATTAGATCACAGCATCAAGTGGGTTTTGATCATGTAATTGAGTGCACATCGCCGCGCCTTTCATTATGTTAACTTTCTAACTGATGGTTATTTGCTTATTGCAGTTGGTTGAGCATTTTTTCCAGTCATTAGTGAATACTTCTGGTATGACACTTCACATCCGACAGGTGAAGACCGTTCTAAACAATGTTAGAAAGATAAATTAAGTGCATACTGTTCTCCGTTACATTACACACTTAAGGGCATTTAAATATAACTGGGTCTGAAATCTTCAGCTCCTGAATTTGCATTTCTGCAGCTTGCTGGAAAGAATTCACACCATATTATTGAGGCAACCTTCAAAGCTTTCGCCAGGGCTCTTCGTCAAGCAACAGAACCTGACCCACGACGCCTTGGGACCATACCAAGGTCTGGTTTTACCCCCCAATCTCAGATAGTGCCTCTGCTGAGTGCTGAGTTCTTTCAACAAACATCAATTTCAATTAGTTCTTTTATTGATTGGTTGACCCCACTGATTCTACGCTGTTGGATGCTCCTGTGTACAGCTCGAAGGGTGTTCTGTCACGTTCTTGACGAGTTCATTGCCATAGTTGAAGCAACAAATGACTTAAAGTTGGCATTGTGGCCCCCTGAAGCGCTAAATTTGCAATTGTTGGTGGTTATTGGGAGGACTTATCCGCAATCTGAGCACGTTTTGGGATCACAAGTACCAGCCAAAGTGCAACTCCAGCCCAGTTACAAGAACTAGCTGTGTGATCGAATATGAAACCATGGAACTTTCATAGGATTATTGTTTGTCCTACATTAGAACTATTTATGTAAGCGTATCCTATAGAGCTTCTATGAGGTTTGAGATTGTAAAATAAATAGCAGACTTTTTTATGTCATTCCACAAAATAGCATGGCTCAAGAAGGCAAAATAGACGTCACAATCTGACGCAGCAAATCATTTCTGAAATCATGTACAGGCTTTCTCTCCAATACCCACACTATGGTAATCACAAGGAATATAAGAACAAAACTGAGCTATTTGTAGGGTGAAGTATATTCAATTCTGCAAATTCACAAATCCAATAAAACACCAACAAACAGACGATTACAAACTGACAAGCGGCTCACCATGTTCTTCCTTGCCATAAACGAGAGATAACAAACACTTTCTTAGTTCAAGCATGAGCGAGCCTCTTCACTATTGTGGCCATATACTTGCCCTGGTGTTCTGCAAGTGCCAGCTCGGTTTCACTCGGTTGTCTAGAACCATCACCAGCAAAAACTCCAGCACCATATGGCGAGCCCCCTCGGATAGAGTCCATCTTGAACATGCCAGCACCAAAGGTGTAGCCCACGGGAACAAACAACATGCCATGGTGAGCCAACTGGGTGATTGCTGTCCATCTGAATAACCAAGCAATCAAAATTCAAAACACCGAGCATTACCATACCAGAAGATAAAGTTCGTTCAAGCTTTTAGAATAACAATTCTTGCATAACTAAGGAGACCATGATGCATTGTTTTTTACAGATCCATGAGCTCTATCCTGAATTGTGCTTGAAAATGGTAAGCTTTCTTGCAATCAAACCATTAGACATTTAAAGTTCGAAACACAATTTGCTACACAAAACAAAATAAACGCATTTGTTTACGGTTAAAAAAGTGAAAGATGTGATGACCTAAAGAGATGAAAGAACCCAACTTTACGTTTCCATTCCGTGTTGGAACTTTTGCCAGTATAGTAAGACGTATAGATGAAACATTATCCGTTAGGTCAGTGCCACTTTTCACAAGCAAAAGCGTCAGTCTGCAGTAAACTCAAACACTCAACATTCGATTTGGCAAATGCAAGTTTATTAGAATCTGTCTATGTGACGTGAACTGTTAAGCTTCTCCTCAGTTCTAGCAGCTAAGAGCTAACTGAAATCATCGAACTTGAACCCACTATAGCTATGGAACATAGAAATTATTGCAGGAGGACTAATGCGTTTGAGTTAGAAATAGCACAGAAGCTAATTGTGTCAAGTGTCAACTCAGCTTCCTTGGCAACAATTCTTATTCTCTGATTCAGAATAGATAAAGTTCTATCCTAAAAGTTTCAATCAGATAAGTTGCAGCAAAATGTAGCACGAAAGAGGACGTAGAATGAAAAGAACTTACGCGGTGGTTTCTTGACCGCCGCCTTGCGTTCCGGTGCTAACAAAGAACCCAGCTGGCTTCCCGGCGAGCTTCTGCTCATTCCACAATTGGCCGGTGGAATCAAAAAACGACTTCATCTGTGCAGCCATTGACCCATACCTCGTGGGGAACCCAAACAGAATCCCATCCGCACCAACCAATTCCGCCGCTGTAATCTCCGGGATCGAAGGGTCCTTCGGCGGCGCCTTCATCTGCTCCAAAACCTCGCTCGCCAGCGTCTCCGGGACCCGATACAGCATCGCCTCGACCCCCTCGACTCCGTCCACGCCTGTCTTCATCCTCCGAGCCAGAAACTCCACGTGGCCGTACATCGAGTAGAACACGATGAGTATCTTCAATTTCGCGGCGGGAGGCGGTTCAATTGCGGCGTCTGCGGCGGCCACCACATGGCTGTTGGTACCGGCGTGGTTCTCGTCGGTGGTGTTCGTCGAATGGGCCGATGCAGGGGTGGTTGCGGTGGCAGCGGCGGTGGAGGGGGCCGGCTGAGGAGGATTGTCGGCGACGGGAGGTTGTTTTTTCTTGCTGGGAACACAGCCGCCGCCCTTCCCCATTTAGCAGATCTTCGGCTACCCTAATTCGGAATCTCGGAATCTGGGTAATGGAGAATCCGCCACAAGCGGCGGCGAATTTCTGGATCCGACGACTTGAGGACAGGAGATGAATTATGAGAGGGGAACTGGAAGTTGGTGGACTGGACTGGAGAAGAAGAAAAGAAACGAGTAGTTCTTTCTTTCTCCCTTCGTCTCGCTGTGTGTGTGCGTGGTTTGACTTTGACAGAAGTGCCACGTGCGACGTGCCAATCACGACGGGTGAGAGAAAACGACGCCGGAGCCTGCATTTTGCGTCCTCCGCCGGCTTGGTAGGCTCGCTCCTATCAGGATGCGACAACTGGCAAAGCTAATAGGGAGTGGCGAGTGTTGGGTGGATGGACGTCGGCTGGCGGGTTGGGCCGATTTTGGTGGATTAAAAATTTCGGTTTGATAGTTTAGCCCAAGGCCCAGTCTGTGCCCAACCATGCAAATATGTGGTCCAGTTGAAATAGGATGATGGGTGGAGCCCGTTTCAGTCTTTTGATGATACTATTTCCGTTTCATAAAACACTACCACTCTGTTTGGGAAAGAGGTGCAATGGGGAGTGATGCAAATGAGAGGAGTAAACATAGTTTCCAACGTATTTGCACTTGTTTGATTAATTTGTAACAATAGGGGTGTAAAATGGGAGTGCAAATTTACTGTTTTGGCTTACTCTGAATTGGGGTGCAAGAGAAGAAAGGAAGGGCGAAAGGGAGAGGGAGAGGGGAGAAATATATTTCTAATAAATTTTTAATTGTTTTATAATTATATAATAATTAATATTATCAATTTTTTTTGTTATAGTTATCATCAATGTAGATATGTCGGGGTTTGCTGTTAGACTCCGAGTGCAAGTTTATCAATGTTCGTCTAGTCAAATCGAGATCTCTTGGTTGACTCGAATTTACGTTGGAAATTAGATATAAGAAGTGTTTATAGAAATGTAGCAATAAATAGTTTGGTTGACTCAGTTTATTTGACTAAGTAGCAAAAACTTATCGATTCCAACGTGTTTGACTAAGTTTGACCATATTAAATTTATAGTTAAGTTATATATGAGAATCATGTAAGATGACAAATTACGAGTTGAGCTTCGAAGTCGATCGATTAATGATTATTACAGTTTTTATAATCAATTATTATTTGAGCATCACTATATAATAATTATTTTCTTAAATTAAATTAATTAGTTATTTTATTATTTTGTAATATTATTTTATAAATTTGATAAATCTATTTTATAATCATATAAATACTCACTTTTCACTTTATTTGCACCCTCCTACTTTTTCATCCAAACAATGATTTACCGCTCCACTTGCAACCCCACCAATTTGCACCGTCCAGCAATTTACCCCTCAACTTGTACCCTTCTCGAATTTGTACCTTTTGTTGCCAAAAATAGTGTACCCCTCGCCGCACTTCACAATTCTCTGCTACGAGGTGGAAGTAATTTTTTAATTGTCATGTCACTCATTTAATTAATGATGATGGTTGATTACTAAGTACAAAAAAATTAATAAAAATGAATGGCAAGTGGCTAATGATGAATAATGGCGAATCCAGGGGGTGGCCAACCAGGGCCACGACCCAGCTCTCCTTTGGATCTAGAGCTAGAATACATTTATGAAATTTTTTATTTTAGGCATTAGAGTCAGTGCTATTTTATAATAAGATTGTGTAGAACTAAAAGAAAAATTGTTCAGATGAACATATTCAAATCACTACTCTAAATAGTCTAGAAGTTTTGGACTTTTCCTTTGAAATAAAAACATAAACAATGAAACCTAAGTCTAAAACATAAAATACTAAAAGAAATATGAAGTTTGTTCCCTTGAAAAGTTACTGGAGAAACGGGTGTAAACAGGGATGAACACACAGTACAAATTTATAAGTCAGTTGATTCTTCTAATGTTGACATTGTCCGTTTCAATGGTTACTACGGGGAGAACCTTTTCAACAAAGAAAAATGTGAAAATCTTATTAATGCAACAAAATTAGCAATGAATTTCTCGTTGATTGTTTAACTATTTTATTTAAAAGAGTGTATGTTATTGGTATGGATGAAGACTCTCATTGTTGATGAAGACACTAAATTAAAAGACTGTCTTGTATAATTTGTTATTCAATTGTGGCTAGTCCTTAATCAATCATACAAGCAGTAGCCATAAAGGTTTATATTTGATTGTAAAACCATGTTATATATTATTATTATTATTATATAAAAGTGAATTTAGTTTACTGTTGCATAAGTAATTACATTTTGATACTCCAAATTTAATTAAATTACAACTTAGTCATAATAATGTATATTTTACATTTTGATACTCAAAATTTAATTTAATATAAAATCATTGAACAATTATGTTTTGGTATCTAAATTTTATGAGATTTCGAGTCTACAATTTTTTAAATTTATATATTGGTCCAATGTTTAGATTTCATTTAAATCCATGAATCCAATCCACCATAACATAAAAGTATAAATTTGGTTTGAACCATACAAGAAGCTGTATCCAATGTTTAGATTTCACTTAAATCCATGAATCCAATCCACCATAACATATATAATAAACGTGAAGTTAGTTTACTGTTGCATAACTAATTACATTTTGATACTCCAAATTTAAATAAATTACAACTTAGTCATACTAATGTACATTTTACATTTTGATACTCAAAATTTAAATTAATATAAAAACATTGAACAATTATGTTTTGGTTTCTAAATTTTATGAGATTTCGAATCTACAATTTTTTAAATTTACATATTGGTCAAATGTTTAGATTTCACTTAAATCCATGAATCCAATCCACCATAACATAAAGTATAAATTTAGTGTGTACTATACAAGATGTTGTATCCAATGTTTAGATTTCACTAAAATCCATGAATCCAATCCACCATAACAAAAAAGTATAAATTTAGTTTGTACCATACAAGATATTGTATCTCTCAATTGTATGAGAAGATTCGACCATTTTATATTTGCTCATTACGTGAAACATATAATAAATGATAAAAGAGAGACGACTCTAAAATATTGCAAGAGCGAATTTATAAACTCATTTAGTACATTTTTGTTGGTACTAAACAAACTTCTACTAACATGTAACAAAATATGCGACAACTACATAAGTAAGTTTCAATAAATTGCTAAGTGAAAATGGTTGACTGTTGTATTGACGGCCAACTAAAAGAATTGGTCAAAACCTTTCCATCATCGACTTCCTCTTCGTTTCATTTTTCACTCGCCTTCCATAACCCTTTATTTATTTATTTCTTTGCCTTCTTCTTCTAACCCTAATTAGTATACTATTTTTATCTATTCTAATTACAAGTATGAACGGTTCCGTACACGACTCACCAACAGTCTAGAGAATTAATAATTGAACCACTACTTATTAGAAAGTCTTATTTAATTTACGACTATGAGATTTTTTTTTCCAAAGTCAGTTGTTATAAAATCAGATATACAGAGAAAATAAAAAGAGCGCGGGAGTCGAGCAATAGTCGAACTCCCGATGAGATGGCCTTTATGTCACATGATGGGCAGCCCTATTGAGACAGCGGAGAACAAAACAGTAAGAAACCCAAAGACAGAGAAAAGCCGAGCTCTGAGCATCCTGCAAGATAGTTTCATCCTGATCATGAGCCAAGTCACCTGTCTGAGGAAGTCTCTCCGATAACGGGAGCTCTTCTGCGTGCCCCTACAAAAAAAAAAAACAAACAAACAAACAAAACACACAAGCGTCCCCACCGTAGGCAACTAAGCTCCACCAAATGGACTTAAACAAGCCATTAAGGCTTAGTCGGATACACCGAATCCAAAACTATGTCAAATTTTTTTTTTTAAGAATAGCTAAAGAAAAGCAAACAAAAAAAAGACGAAATTGACAAATAAAATGAATAAAAGGGAGGGTAAGTATCAAAAGAAAACAAATAAAAATTACTAATAAATAATGAAGGAAATGTATAGCGGTTAATTAAAAAGATAAAGGAAATAAAAAATGACTAAATTGCAATAATGTAAAAAAAAGGAAACTGAGGAGTCTGTTTGAGTTACTTACCTAAAGTAGTTACGCCATTCCAAAAGGTGTGAAATTGTAATTAATTAAAAAACACAGTTACCAATTACTTGCAGCAGATCTCACCAGAAACGTCCGTTCAGTTACCCTAGGTAACCGTTACCCCCCTCCTCCACCAACGAATCCCTAAACCAATCTCGCAGTGGCGTCCCCTCCGCCACCTCAATCGGGTGCCGGTGGCCGTCGTAGTTGTCGTAATCGATGTGCTTCGTAGCGACAGATCCTCCCGCCGAAGATTTGGAGAGCTCCCTCTTGACTTCCTGGTAGAGCGTGCCGCCGCAGGCGACGTTGAGGACCTGGGAACCGCGGCAGATCCCGAGGAAGGGGATATTCCGCTCGAGGCTGAGCTTGGCGAGGCTGAGCTCGATGGAGTCCTTCTCGCGGTCGACGGCGGTGTCACTGGTGTGGAGGCGTTTCACCTCCTCGAATTCCTCCAGGGAGAGGCCGGCGGCGTCGGCGACCCTTCCCTCTACGACTATGAGATTTGAAGGCGTGAAATTTTAAGCGAGTTCCAGTTTGTATTCCTTTTCCTTCTCTCTAGAGTTTTTCTTTTTTACCTGGGCTAGAATTTTCAACATTAATACATGGAATGTTTTGGTATTATCTACACATATGAAATAAATAGTTTCCACTTTTCTATAAAAAAGTAAATAATTATCATCTTAAATACATCATAAAAGGAATTAAGCCTCAACTATAAAAACTACAGTTCACTACCTAAACTTAGTAGATCTTTAGATTTCTAACCTCAATTATTTTTTTTGGCATATAAGTCATCAAAATATTGATGTTTTATTACATTTTGGTACCTAAACTTTTGAAGTTCTACAAATAGGTCTAACTTTTGTATGTGTAATTAAAACACCCTCGAATAAATGGGTATCTACACCCAACTCATACACATTTATATTATGAGAGTAAATATCCATACACTACTCAAACCCATCTACAAACTTTCAAACCCATATATGCGTCACCCATACCCTACCCACAATCAATGGATCTAATTGGGTTTAGGTAAATATCATTAATTAGCCAAAATTAAAAATAAAAATTGGATTTCGACCGTCAGTATCTTTTCTCAGTCAATATCATATTGTCAAATCAATATTACTAACAAAATATTAACAAAAAATTAATTTTATGATAATGTACTAACAAAACACTATAACAAGCCACATACTACATGCCCATAGGCCATCTCCGCCCCGCGACAAGGCGCGACATCACCACCTAATATATATAAGATAAGAGTTCTGCAGTATGAGAAGTCAATCATAGTCTAATTCCAATCAAAGATATGCTACTACAATAAAGACCAATAAACTATAATATATATATATAAGAAAGAAGCTAAGCCCCAATCTGCTAGAGTTCCTGGCTTCATGCCCCAACTCTAGCGAAAGAGACTCTTTGAAATGTTCTCCCAAACAAATCGAACTTGAGAGAGTAAAAATAGAACAATGAAACAAAAACCCTTGATCGAAATGAGTTCCTGGATGAAATTCCCAACTCAATTGATCAAGTATCTAACTTCTGAACTCATTCCCAAATCCTCTTAAGAACTACCATGTTCTTCATGAGGTAGGGAAACTCAAAATCTGATAAAGGAAAAGCAATTACAAACCAGACTCAAAACCGAAACCCAAACAACATTGAACCCATACACCCCCGTAACATCCAATTGTAGCAACAGATAGTCTGATTCAAGTCACATTAACATGTTGGATGGACATGTTAATATTTATTTGAAAAATATCACCTTATCCTTCTCAGAGTTTGGATGGCGACGAGGATAACAAAATTGAAAACCTTTAAAAT